TACTTGCTCCTAGTAACAGTATGGAGTAGAGAGAGGGCTAGTACTAAGTAGTAGGAGGCTTAGTAGGTAGGCCTCTAGGTAGTACTACTAACAACTAGGCCTAGGTCTAATTATGATTTCATCCTTTGCAAATACGAATAGAAGAGGCTAGGCTTAGCCTAATGCTTGGTGGTGCTCTATACTCATTAACTTTAAGAAACAGGTTAGTTGAGAAAAAAATAAGCCAGGCTTGGGGTAGTAGTAGAAATAGCCCTAGGCTTCTACCCTAGCTAGGCTTAGACCAGGCATCATGAACAACTCAGCAGCTGGACGCCACGTAAGCAGTCGATCTTACTTGACTATGGGTACCGGTAATCCTTGCATTTATTAGCTAATTTTCACATGTAAACATAAATTAAAAAAAATTATAGTCACTGTAAAGTTTTCAAATGTTATATGGCAAATATCAGTAATAGAAAAAAAGGTACGATTAAAGGTGATTTAAGTGGATACTTCGAACTTACCATTCTGAATCTCTTGTTTTATCCTGAGAGAAAAATTACCTGAACTGGGTCAAAGGTTGAATTTGCTTGAAAAGGACGACCGAATCGTACCGTCAGCGGGAGCAGAATATTTTAGAATTGATTAGATTTATAATAGTTTGCATTCTTAATTATGATGTTTAATCAGCAAATATGAGTTATAATTTCTTATTCTTTATAGTTATATTCTATTAAGTTATTTTTGTATAGATTATCTGATATATAGGTTTAGCCTAGGCCTAGCCAATTTTTATAAACCCCCTTTCATAAAATGTAGTAATCCTAATTTGTTACCAGGACACTTGTCAACTAAATTTACACTCGACTGACTTGCAGGCAGAGAGAAGAAAATAATTAGAAGTTTTGATGAGTTTTTCTTACTGGTTCAATAAGTTTATCAAGTGTAAGTTCAATCAATGAGAAATTTGAATACATGATTTCTACAGTTAGAGACAGGGCCTAGGCTAGGCCTTGCGTAGCTAGGGCCTAGGCTAGGGCCGGCTAGGCTACATAGAAAATAGCTAGGCCTAGTAGTATGGATGAGGACTTTTTCTAAGACTACTCCAAGGCTGGGCAATGCCTAGGGCCTGGTTATATTGTGGCTCTGTTATCCTAGACCTAGGTAGGCCTAGGCTTCCTTTCTGGCCTAGGCCCAAAGCTGTTATTATCTGATACTGATCGACCATCCTGTAATTAGGGAGATAGGCCTAGGCCTACTTGCTGTTGGATGTGAATGAAATGGAAAAAAGGCTCAAAATGGCTCAATCAAATCAAAGGTTTTTTTCTTATCTTAAAGGTGATACTTTTTTTATTCCTTGATTCGTGTAGGCCTTTTTTTTTTAAAGATCATCGGAGGCAGGCGGAATAAAAATAAAATGTTGTTTTCTTATTTAGCAAATAGTTTTGCCAAAAACATCATCCAGACGGAGGAGAAAATAAAAATAAAATTTTATTGGAGAATGTAAAATAGGATGGTTAAATGCTTCAAATTTATATAATTAATAGGAAGAAATATACATATCTTATCTTTAGAGATTTCAAGGCAGCGGAGGGCATAATAAAAATAAAGAAAAACTTTTATTTATACTTCATCCTCTCTTGGATCGAATCAATTGGCATTTCCCATCTGTCTTGGCTGTATTTTTCTGAAATTTCCACTTTTTTGTGGTGTCAGGTGCGCTAATTGGCAAAAATAAAATTTTATTTTTATTCGAAATCATCAATATTTGCAGTCGGCGGGTTCGCTAAACAAGGTATAAAAAAATCTCACCTAATTGTATTTGATTTTATTTTTACACATCTGTCATCTGGACAGTTGTCAATCACTATTGGGTCTTAGACTTAGTTGACCTTGTAGACTTGTAGAATGTAGTCATTTGTCATTTTGTTGTCTGTTTTTTTACACATCTAGTGAAAATTATTGTTCTCATTACCTTGACCTTTTTTTCTATAATGATCTTTAACGTATAGTCTTTCTAGGACTTAGCTTAGGCCTGATTTCATTAATTAATATATTGTTGTTTGTCATTAACATTTATTGAATTTTAATGATTCCAGTAAGTTTAGTAGAAACCTATGGTGCACTGAGTTACATGTTACCTTTTTAATATCTGCCAAACATTTTATAAATGTTTTTCTGTAAATGAATAGATAATTAATTTTTTTTATTCATTTATTACATTTGTACCTAATTATTATGATATCTGACTTGCAGTGATGATCTTCGCATGGCTCTTATCCGCCTTATGTCATTGCATTATGTTGGTTTAATTATGGATTACTGTAATCAGATTATATCACTTATTCATTGTCTTCATTCAGAGTATTACAATACTGAATGTCCATGATGTAACTGGAAGGTACTCTACTGTATCTGCTTAGACCGCTAAGTAGCATCTACAGTACCACCATGCCTCGGTTAAGCACCTTGGCTAGAGGTTATGGGTCGTGGAATGGTGACTTAGAACAGGAAAAACAAAGCTATTTAAAGGTAAGATAACTGATTCGAGAAGTAAAGGCTATGTTGAGGATATTATGGTGATTTTTTAGATCATTACTTTGGCATGAACAGTTTTGGAGCATATAATAGGTAGTTTTCGCTGCACGACGTTAACCTTAACTTTAACGTTGGTACCCAACATGCAATGCGATAAATATGCCCCTTTTGTAAAGAAATCAGAATACGCATGAGCAAACCCGTAACTAACGTACATCGAGCACGTGAAATTCTGAAATTAACGTACTCCGCAACGCAAGATGAATAAATTATGATGTCTTCTGTTAACATTAAGGTTAACGCTGTGCGGCGAAAACTATCTAATGCTGTTCTCAATGTGGAAGTTGATCGATAAGCATGTTTGTGTACCACCTGTATATGCCTGGTAGCAATGGCTGCCCATCGTCTTCTGTGTAGTGTATTTGATATACTGATGGTCTTGTTTCAGGATATTGCCACGCCTATATTACCACAATACTTGAGTAGTGAACATCAGCCATTCTACAAAGAGAAAACAGTTAAGTTTCCAATCCGTACCAAAGCCAACCATGAGGTCATTAAGACAATCCTTGCAGAAGCAGAAAGGATCAAATCGGCAAAAAATCGTAACCACAATGATCCACCAACAATTGCAGAGGAAATTCAATCCAAAGTGCCGATGACGCAGCCATCCCGCGAACAATCTGGACGATCACAGCGATGGAAGTCTCGTCCCGAATTTCGAACAAATCACAGATCTGTAAATAATCATTTAAGAACTAGAAGTGCTCCAGGCACTAATAAAAGGTTTGCTATCAAAGCAGATGGAGAGCTGCAATTACCAAAGACATTTGTAACTAGGAAAGGGGCAATGGTGCTATTCACAGCTCCCTCAGCAATCAATTTTACCAAAGAAGGCAGATGTTTTTCACCTAATTATAAAACCAAAAAAGACATTAGTAACTTGTCACTGTCACTGGGAACTATTGGGAAATTATGTTCTTCTGTTTTGCAATATGGAGAACCTACGGTAAGAAAAGAATTGTGTTTAATATTCTTAGTACCTTCATTAATGGTCCCTTATCTAAGTCAAATCATCAGTAGTGTTAATGTAAACTAATTTAGTATCAATCACCAACCAGTATAATGTGTTGGCATCTTGGTTTTTATTTTTGATCTTTTGCTTAGAGGCCTGGTTTATTTATTAACCTATTTTTCAAAATCGAAATATAAAACATAAACTTACAAGTTGTTACTATTGAAGTGTATAGAAAATGGTGTTAGAGGATTTAATTGATATTTTATTTTTTATTATTATAATATATTTTGTAATGGTTATAATTTCTTATTTTAAATTTTGTTTTACAAATACATATTCTTTTATTGGCATAGATATAAATAAAAATACATCATGAGATTTCTCTTCTTCACAGTTATGTTATAAATACTGGTAAAAAGTATATCATTAAAAACATTCTGTAAAATATTAGTAGTGCCTACATAGAAATTATCCCCCTTCCAGGAAAGGTAATTCTATTTTATGTGGTGTTGGAACAATGTTCATATCATCCTACGACTAACATTAATAGACTTTGTTTTAATTTAAGTGGGAGGATGATGATCTTGATAGTGTAGCAAGTCAGCAATTTCACAAGACATGTATGCGATTTATTCGTGATGAGGAAGGGGAAGAATGCTTTGATTACCGTGTACAACCTGGAGCTGATTTCAACTTCTACCTTCATGATATGCAGACAAGAGCTGTGTAAGTGAGATATGTTAACTGAAACGCATTTATTTATAGTTTTACAAAAACCTAATTTTGATATTTGTTATATTTAAAGCCCACCACAAGAGTAAACATGAAAAATTTATATTTTTTTCACAGTTTTTGCATTTCCAAGTACTTGCCAAATTTCACTGCAGATGAGAATAAACAGCTTTGCAAAAATTATTAATAGTGTTCACTCTGTCTCTGACATTCCATTTGTTTCTTTTTTCTTTATGTTTATGATGATTTATTTTACTCTTATCAATGTAATTTTGATTTCATCATTTGTAGAGGGTTGAATTTAACTGGAACGATCTATTTTTAAAACTCCTTATTGCTAATGCTGTATTTTCATTCTTCTTGGGTTTGCCATAAATTTAAATGTAATTAAAAATATATACAGAACCAAGATCTAGTTGTATGATTTATGCTTTTAATTAATCTAAAAAGTAATTAATTACATTCATTTTGAGAAAAAAAAATCCTTTTTGTATATGTTAATAAAGAAGGCAAAGGTGTTTCCTCATATTTTCCCTTTTTTATCTGTACTAATAATCTCCTGCATAATCAGCTGATAGGCCTTGAACCATGTTTAATCATGTTTTGTACAGTATGTTGATTTCCTATTTTATCTAATTATTGTTTTTTTGCAGTGTGAGGAATTTAACTCGATGTAACTCAGCCTATTCTCTGACTTCCACCGAAGCTGCCGAAGAATTGAATGAAGCACTTGACAACATGGACAATAATCACCATTACAAACAGGATGATTCGAATGGAAAGGTATGTTTTTAATCATCACAGCAATTACGCTCATTTCGAAGATAAATTGTTATGTATGTTCATATCATATTTTATGAAATGTTAATCAAATATATTATTTGGGAAATATGCATTATTCTATTGTTGTTACACATTAATATATTTTGTTTTTTAATTTGTAACTTTGAATGTTTATTAAACAGAAGGCGGAACAAATTATTTTTTTCTCAAAATATAAATAAACAATTAAAAATTAGCTCTGTTCATTCTCAAGTTTTATGTGATAAATACTTGTGATTTACCCATATATGGGTTTTGGGTATGATATGACATCATCATGCCTATATATTGGCAGTCACAGAATTTTGTTACATAAGACTTAATAATGCAGACAGAGCTTTAAAGGTAAATCTAATGTCCTAATTGAAGGTCTTGTTTTCTACAGCCTGGTTTGATCACTGCGGATGCAAACCGTCTTGTGGAATCCATCTCGTGTGCATCAACATCAACTCCTGAAAAAAGTCTTCAATTTAGGGAAACGTTTTCACATCAATCAACAACACAAGGTTCAGAGAGAAGTCAGAGAGCAGCTGAGATGATGCACATGCCTTTGACGTTGGCAGCAGGAGAAAGGAAGTCTAGGTTAGGAAGTGGTCGGTAGGTTCACAAGACATTCTTTTGTGTTTCCATCAGAGAAAGAATTTGTAAGAAATGCATTCCAGAACCTCCTCCCCTAAATTGGAGTGCTTCAACAAATACAGCTAAATCATATACATATCAGTGTTTCTTTCTTACAATGATTGTTATTTTTAAGTGTAAAATATTGTAGACAAAAATAATTGACAAAATGTATTATTCTGATTTATAGTTCAATGACCTCTTCAAGAACATCCACTCCTTTATCTTGTGCCAGACTCACAGCATCACTCAAATCAACTAATTACCTTGGAAGACCTATTGCTATTCCACGCACTGCTTCTGGTTTTGAGGATGATGACAGTAAAATTATGGAAAGTGAGATGGAGGATACATATGACAGTGGAGGTCGGATGTTGCTTAGACAACAATCAGTAAAGTCCTTCCAGTCAGTAACTTCAATGACGGCAGACAGCCGACCTCATAGTAGGGCTACAAATGGAAGTGGTGATGCCGCTCATGATGCTGAAATCTTTGAAGATTGTGTCATCAAGGAATTGGGTGATGAAACTGAACAGCAGTATTTTGAAGACAATAACTGTGTTGATGCCACTTCACATGTTGGCAGAAGAAGGTGTAGTCTTCTCTCATCTGTCGTAATGGATGATGATGATGAAGATGAATTTGTTGATCTTATGCAACATCAGGATGGTCGCAGCAGTCAATTGTCCCGAAGATCAAGAAGGTCATCTGCACAGAGGACAAAGACACCAGATGCAAACACCTCGAGGAGATCAAGTCTGAAAATGGAGAATGGAGTGTTGTCAGAATTTGATGATACAGGTACAGTAAGCTACTTATTTTTATTAAATTGGTAAACAAATAATAATAGTGTATGTATTTTAAATCACCATTTTGCATTCTCCTTTAATTTAATTTCTGAATCCATTGTTTTCTTGTTAAATTCTCAGCAGAATTAAGCAAAATTCCAAGCAAATGCGAGGGAGAGTTGGAGATGGAAAAAGAAGGAATAGAAGAGGATGCTGAAGAAAATGGTAATGGAACCCTGCAATCAGCTACACCCGCTATAGGTTCAGCTGAGATGGAACAATTAATAGGAAATGATGATGATGATGATGCAGACAATTCTGTTGCTGCTTTAGGAGCAGTGGTAAGTCATTTCACATTCATCCATAAAGTAAGATCGAAGTTTTATTGCAGCCCCCTATAAACATTAAAATTATTTATTATTTATACAGATTTTGAATCTGTCATCTTGGTTCTGTTCTATCTCATTTAATTTCTTGCTAAATGACTCAAAACTAGACCAAATGACCTATTCTTCCCCTGTATTCTCCATTGGAATATAGTCCCTTATATTGTTACTTTAATTTTGACTACATTAGATACATTAAGATTAATTAAAACATATTTTTTATAACAAACTCAAGGAATAAATTAAACATTTGATCCTTTATTGAAATTTGTACTTTAAAATATCAAATTGTTATTGTCCTGTTCTGGTATTTCTTTAAAAATATATAGCTTGATTCAATTTAATATGCTAAATAAAGACATCCTTATATCATTATCATTGTCATTATTATTATTTTTGCAGGTATCAAGACCACAGACTGCTGGATCATCTCATTACAGCGTCAGGTCATTGCATCGTCCAGCTAGCTGCACCTCAAATGTTGAATCAAGTGTTGATTTTAACAATGAACAATTACAAAATATAGGTGTGTATAGTACTGTAGATCATAATTGTATTATATGTTGAATATGTATATTTGTTTACATCATTTCCATTTTAATTTAAAAATTACCATTGTGAGAAAGTCTGCATTGGGTGAGTGAATGCAATGATATTAGAATACATGTATTTACATTATTTACAGTAATTTGTTTTTGTTAAAAAATTATGGTAGATTGTGGTAGACATATAATGTAGCATCATTTATAAACAATAAGTGAAGGGATCTGTGACTTTTCCGTAGCAACAGATTGGTTTGTATTATTACAGATTTAATTAGTATACTGTATTGTTGTGGTAGGATAATATAAGTTGTATTTCTGTTTTGTCATTTCAAGTAAACAGTAGGTTTTGCATTGAAGTCGGTAAACATTATTACAATCTTTTGGTTTGGAATATATGCAATAATTGTACTAATGCATATTTGTGTAGCAAGTGTAAACATATTATGTGCATTCAGTTTTTAATTATCATAGTCAAAGTTCTCATCATTCCTATTACGTATGAGTGTATTCTGTTGTCCAAAGCAGTTTATCTAAACAATTAAGAGAGTTAATGTTATAAATAGTTGTATTTTGATAGATCCCACCCTGTTGATTTAACATTTACTCTTGAGTTATTTGCAAACAAGTGCGCATGCCATTGTTTTTACACTGCAACATTTCACAACATTATTGCATTACCAAATATGGATATATATTTTGTTATTATTATTATTAATTTAATATATTTAGTTAAAATGAAGCCTTCAAAACACAGTAGTTTTACTTTAACTTTGCTAGAAATAGATTTCTGACGAATTGTCTTTATTTAGCTTCTCAAAAATGGTCTCCATGACGATTAAACAAACATGTGTTCTCGTTGATTGTGGCTGTGCATTCATTATGCAAATTAGTAGCATTGATAAATGTGTACTAATTCTTAGCAAAATCAACAGCATGCAGTTAATGATGCCTTTCAATATGGCTTCTTCAATGCTTAATTACGTTCTCTGTAAATAAGATATAAATTTGAATTTCATATAGATGGATTAGTATTGGATGCGGTGGAGTCGCTGCAGCATGATACAAGAGATGGTGAACATGTTGTAGACCCTGGTCAAGTGGAAACTCACCCCAAAAGTTCTACAGGAATTATTGAAGAAAGTTCAACACCAAAAGGTTGGATATTAAAACATTGTTATGTGCTTTCTAATAACAGAATCATGTGTGATTATAAAAAAAAAATTGTGATTAGTGTGATTATAATATTTTTAATAAACTTATATTAAAAATAATATTTTCCTTTGTTTTATTTGTATTGGTTATCCCAATGCTGTTATGCATCTGTTTTTATATTAATTTATTTTGTTTAAACTTTTGTTATTTATATTATTATTATTTCAGAAGTAACTCTCAGCAAAACTAAAGATAAACAATCTGTACAATCGGCGCCTATTCTAACTGAAGGATCTGAACTTTCAATGCAACCTCTAAAACCTTTACAATCATCATTAGCACCTCTTGCATCAAATGGTGTTTCTAATAAAGAAACACCACTGTTCAATAATGCCAAAATGGAGGCACCTTCCGTTAAAGAAGAAAAACAGTCACAGCAAGTGGAGAAATTTCCAGAGATCACACCCCCTCAGAAAATATCTTCACCAGAGCCAAAGCCCCCACCTCCAAGGGTATCTTCACCAAAGGTCTCATCACCCATGCAGATAAACCCAGTACACACAAAACAGACAGTTGGAATGACTCCAAAACCACCAATCATGAAGGCACCACTACCCCAAACTTCTCCAGCTGCAAAGGTAAACAAGGCTGTGATACCAATCCATGCTGGAGCGCTACCTAAGATGGAACCAGATGTAGCACCAATGAAAAACGTAGATTCAGGCCCCTTGAAAGCCACCACAAGAAAACCTGTAAGTTAACTGCAATAAATTTTGTAGGAAGAATTTATTTGTTGCCTTATTGATTATTGATTGCCATGCCCTATCGAAATCGATGTGGGTGTCTGTGACACTCCATCTTTTTCTTTTTGGATTTATACATGGTTTCAGGATATCTTAAGCCATATTGAACAATGGAATCATTACAACTAAAAAATTTGTGTAAATTTTATATTTTTTTACTGAACAATTTTAAATAGGTATTTAAATTTGAAATGCTGAGTGACGTGATTTTCTTTGTATTTTTTATTTATGAAGATCAATAAACTTATAAAATCTTTAAACTGTTGTCTATTTTTAAAGAAATCAAGAGGTAATGTGACAAAGAAAAAAGTGATTGGAGGACCTCAGTTTAATGACGGTCTAGTGAAGGAAACTTATGATGAACCAGGCGCCGATGAAATTGAAAAGATGATTCAGGAGGAGGTTGGTAGCATACACACATCTGTGTATTGATATAGCATTGATTATAGCATTGATATAGCATTGATATGATACAGTATTGATTGATATAGCATTGATATAGTATATTGACTGCTCATGAGGGGAATGGTGAAATCTATTGCCCTGAGGTGATGTGGAGACCGTAGCCTATCTTGGGCTTCAGGGCATTAAATTTCACCGTTCCCCGAATCTAGAGTAGTCAATATTTGTTTTATATACCTCATACATAGACTCTACAAGGCCTAAAAAAGAAATTACTTCCTAGCCTAGGCTAGGCGGCTATGAGGCCTATTAGTAGTTTAGACGATCAAAGAGTGTGTCTAGCTCTTGCTCAGCGCCCATCGTCTTGCAAATATTGAAAAGACATATTTAATTTGTCTTTGGTTTTGCTATTGGATTCATCAAGAAGTAATTCACCAGCCTCCATTGCTTATCGTCTACTCGCTGATTCGTGGCGCTGTCAAGGGCCAATCTTGTGATAGAGGTAGCAGTCAACTTTACCGTCAGTGCGATTTTAAGTGGGACCTAGAGTTTGCACATCACACGACAGGGCAATAAAGTACTATTTTTCAGGGGAATATTACATTGTTTTCTTGAATTTTGGTGTTGATTATTCACATTACAGTTGTTTATTGCAATTATTAAATGGTTAAATTACTCAAGTTCCAATATTAATTTTTTCTTTATTTTCAGTTGGAAAAGGATTTGAAAGAGCATGGGTTGATTGAGATTTCGGAGGAAGGGGCTGGTGCCACCTCATCAACTGATAATTTGAAGTCTGGAAAGGTAGAAACAGAAGTGGGGTTAGATAATCAACAAGGTATGAAGCATGAACAATTTTACCACTTTTTCTTTATAGACCTTTAAGATCCAAGGTTCATTTAATGTTCAGTAACAACACTGCAGAATTGCCTTTCCATTTAGAGAACATCTGGGGAAAAAGTAATAAGATAAAAATGGTTAAACAGCTTCATAGTCTATTGTTATTAATGTATTAAAAGTATATAGACATTGAATTCTAAAACATATAAACATTTTTTTTTCATATCGTGATAAAATAGCAAAAATATACAAATTACTTTACATACTATTCACATTACAATGAGTAATAGTTTATCGATCTGGATAGCAGTATTTTTTTAGTACTCTCTTTTTATTTATTTCTAGATTGATTTTGTGATTGTTGTGATTTTATGAACTATGTGAAGGCCCCACGATCCTTAGCATTCTGCTGTTTTGGGTCACCACGGAAAATAAAGTTGAATAAAAAATTAAATTGTTGATGTAAATATGTTATTGTTAATTTGTTTAAATATTGAATTTATTTGTTATGTTTTGAAGGCCCCTGAACATCAGATTTACACTGTAAGGGTCGCCCACTCAAAACATGGTTTTAAATAAATAAATAAATAGCTGAATAATGAGAGTATATCTGAATATAATGCAATAAATGTAAAATGTATTCATTCTTGCAGAAAATACTGAAATCAATTTAGATACTGATGATGAAACCATCGCGAAGGAAGTTAAAAAAATCAGTAAAGGCAAGAAGAAGAGCAAGAAACAGATTCTGAAAGAGCGAGAGGAATTGAGAGAATTAAAAAGGAAAGAGAGAAGGGTGAGTGAATTTTTTTTACCCTGTAATATATGATCAATAATTTTATGTACAAGTTTAAGCCCTGTCCAGTCTATAAAATTAGATTTGGGCAAAAGCATGCATTCCTAAATATGGTCATGAAGACATCATGACTATATATGGGCACATCATGACTATATATGGGCACATCATGACTATATATTGGCACATCATGACTATATATGGGCACATCATGACTATATATGGACATACAACAGTTTTTGTCAAAGAAAATTTGATAGTTTGGACGGGGCTTTAGTAAGCCTTCCAATGATTTTATACACTTCATATTTTTACCCCAATACTCAAATTCCAGGGGGAATGGTGTATAATGTTGCAGCTACTAATTGGAGCATAGGGACTCAATGGACCGTTCTGCTAAACCCTGCCACTTGGAACTGTTGCTACGATCCCACAAAACAACAGTGTAAAAATATTTGCAAACACATGTGCACATGTTGGACAATGCATGTGTTAGTGAGACCTGTGCATATCCCTGGCCCTGCTCTGATTGGTCAGATTGCCACTCCAGAAAGGTCCATTATACTCCTAGGTGGAGAGAGCCGATGTGGATGAAGTGCCTTTTCCCAAAAACATAACCAAGCAGTCAGACCCAAATGCCACATCATTCCACCTAAATAAAATTATTCAACCTATAAAGGTATATGAGAATTATAATACGTAATTCAGTCTTTATTTTTTCATAGTTGAAAGAGGAAGAAGCAAAAGCAATGAAGGCAATGAAGAAAGCAGCTGAAAAAGAGAAGATGATGGCAGAAGAAGCAGCCAGAAGAAAGAAGATAGTAAGTAATCTGATGAATTGGAGTTGATTAGCTTTGTAGTTAAGATGCTTGTCTTCCAATCCCAAAGTTAAATAATTCCCTTGACAGCAGGATTTTAAAACAACTACACTCTCTAAACCTCATTATGAGACTTAATCTATGAAGTGTGACTGGGCTTGTAGGAGAACAGTAGATACATTTTTACCCAGTGTAAGGAAGAAAAATTCCGATGAAAGGTTGGTAAAGAAGGATCTCTTTGATTTGCAGGAAATGGAGGAAGAAATTCAAGACGCAGAGAGGGAAGCAGAGGCTGCAAGGGAAGCTGAGGAGCAGGCTAGACTGATGCTTCTAGAATCACGAAAACAAGCAAGAGAAGAAAGAGAAGCTAAAAGGAAGGCAGAAATGGATAGAAAGAAAGAGGAGAGAAATAGGCAACGAGAACAAAGGAAGAAAATGGTAAGTTTGACATGTAAAAATTAATTAAAATTTTTCTTATAACCTATCAATGGTCATATAAATAATGTATGCATTTTTATCTGTATTTGTAGGAGGAAGCTGCAAGAAAGAGGGAACAAGAAATGAAAGAAAAATTGGCTTCAGTTGAGGATATTAGACGACAGAAAGAACTTGAAAGAGAAATGGAGTGGGAGAGAGAAGAGAAGGAACGGGAAGAGAGGGAAGAGATGGAGAGACAAGAAGAAGAAGAGAAAAGAAAAATGGAAGAAGAGGAAGAAAGAATAAGGGAACTTGAAAAGGAAGTAGGTATCTTTATATTCATATGGAGTTTAGTGGAAGATGGGGTAGCAGAATTAAATTGGCCTTCAAAGGATTGTGTCTAAAAGTCTCATTATCTTTTGCCCTTGAGTATGATATTAACAATAATTTTTCTACATATTAGATATGTGATATATGATCATAATGTACAAGTTATATATAACATTTATAGTATTTTATTAGTTGTTTGTACAATTAATACTATACTATAAATGTTATAGTATTTTGTTAATTGTTTGTACACCTAAAAAATGACTTTTATTCAAAGTTATTAAAGTTGCTCAAATTAGTCGCTCTCCCCATGCCCCTAGATCTGCCACTAAGAGATGACATTCCTATTGTTATGTATTGTTCATTCGTTATAAAAATAAACTAGCACTCGCTGCCTTAGAAGAGTTTAAATACTTAATTTCCAAATTACCTTCACAGGCTGAAGAGGAGGCCCTCGCTCGCCTTGTGCGAGAACGAGAAGAAGCCGAACAAAGGATGAAAGCAGCAGCTCTTGAAGCACAGAGACAAAAGGATGCAGAGGAACAACTCAGGTTAGCATTCATTTAAGGCTGTTCTTTTTCCTTTTGTTTTTTGAAGTGGGTGGGGAGGGTAACCCACTTTTTTTTTTGTCTTCTTACATTAGATATTATGTAAAACATATAAAATTCCAGTAATTTACAATATACAATAATCGTAAAGTAAAAACCACAAAAAATTGTACACCTATACAATATTATACTATACATTTAAGGCTGTTCTTAAGTGAATATACTCTTTATAAGAATAATTTAATGTAATTGTTTTGAACACATATCCAAATATTTGCATTTGAAGTCACCCAAAGCAGATTGCTTACATATATTCTAGTTCTATGTTTATTTGGTATTAACTTGATGTATTTATTTATGTAGACTGGAAGAACAGCGTAAGCAGGAAGAGGAAGCAGAACGGAGAAGGTTACAAGAACTAGAGGAAGAGAGGTTGTTAGATATTGAAAGACAACGTATTTTGCAGGTACAATAAAAATTTGAGTGTTTACCATTAAGTGTCCATAGAGTTAAATCCTGAACAGCTGAGTAGAGAAGAGTATATAAATTAATATATGAGGTAATAATAATTATCAGCATAGTGCCAATAGTTTTTTGTCCCATTTTTTACAGTACTTTACTCATTTTCTTTACTTATAGATTAAAAGAATAGAAGATGAAGCTCGAGCAAGGGTTCTTAAGAAACTGGAAGGCAAGCGAATTTGGGCGATGAGGAGACGAGATGCGAATGTTCAACGCTTTGCGCATTTGAACAGCGTTCGACGGACACAAGGCATGACTCGTCCATGGGTGTTCTCCTATTATGTACACTGGCCGAGGCAAACTTACGAAAAAAAACTACCGTCAGCAAAGAAGAAGCAGAGAAGACCAATAAGACCACCTAAACCACCTGCTGAAACACCTATCAATCAAGCAGCTTCTTAAAAATAGATATAAATTAATTTATTCCATGTTTGGATTAAAAAATTATAGTAAACTTGGAATCAAATATAAATTATGTTGATGTTTTCTTGCAATCGTGATCAAAATTTTAGGTACATTGTTATCTGTTTAAATGTGGCCTTTATCATGTCATGTGACCTGTATTTTGTCATGTGTCATGTTATCTCTGCATATCATGTGAGCTGTATTATATGATTTATCTTAGAACATGATCAATTGCAGTTGAATAACTATATATAGTTAAAGATATATGAGCTACAGTCAGTTTTATTATGAGCTCTGATGTCGTAGTTACAAACACATGATATTTTAAGAGTTAAGCACATTTTAAAGAAATTCATCTAAACCTTGCGACTAGTTATAAGAGTCTTGGTACTCGGGGGTGGGGGAAGGGGTGAAGCTTGTGCCTAGTTGATGAGTCTAAAAAATTGATATAAATTTATTCCATGTTTGAATTGAAAAATTCTATTTATAGTATTATAGTAAACTTGGAATCACATAAATTGTGATGACGATATTTTCTTGCAAGCATGATCAAAATGAGTCTATTTGCAAAAGTACAATTGTATGAGTATGTTGCTTGATATGTTGCAGATTGGCAGAATGGCAGATATTTTGTAACCCTTGCTTTTCCTACCCTTCTTGCGGACATTTTGCAACCTAGACATCAGTGGCTTATCTAGGGGGTGTGGGCACATTCCCCTAAAAAATTACTTGCGCTCCCCCAGTTGTCCTCCCAAAAATCATGGTCAAATAGTTTAAAATCACCTTATTTTGCGAGTTAGCGCCCCTCAATTAATCATCAAACCCCCCACTCCCATTTTAAGACCTCTAGATACGCCACTGCTAGACATTAAGACTGGTGGGCATAAAAATCGGTCAGAGGGACAAAGTGAGTTTTTGATTTAACACCGAGGGCCGCACCCAAACTTTGATGTTTTCACTGAGCTTCCAAAAACTTACGAGCCCTGCTTTTACATCACTTTATTCTTAATTTTAAATGTTACTTTTTACTTATGTTTGGTGTCAGGCCGTGAAAACAAGTGGTTTTCTAGCCAATTTTGATTGGCGGGCCGCAAACATAGGGTTTTTATTTCATTGTCACGGCTGCAAAAGTATTGCTGACGGGCTCAAGCACAGCCCGCGGGCCGCACTTTGCCCACCTGTGCATTAAGACAATCCAGACATTTGAAATTTCTATTCCTATTCTGACAAGATACCTATCAGTGCTAAAGTAATTTTATTTTAATATTCTGAACTACCTCTTTTTATCCTATGCTATTGAGATTGATTGATATTCTTTGTGTTTATATTGATTTACCGAAAAATAAATATAAACAGCACAGTATTATGTTCATTTGTGTACATTATTTTTAATAATTAAATCAACAACAGCTTGAATATTACCCTGATCATAACCATAACAGAATTACCTAAATCATCACCATCATTGATAAAAAGTATCATCAGTGATTATCTGCCTTTTCAGCAAGTTTTAAGCATCTTCATTTCAAGATTCAAGATAAAATATTCAAGATAAAATGTATCCCCCTCCCCCACCCACCCGTCGGACCGGCCTGGACCCCCGGAGCCACAAAGATGGCGTTAGATCAAAAATATTAATTTGTCTATCCAAAACGTGATTTTGAATGCCAGTCCATAATATTATGGTCTAAAGCATAATTTTGAGCCATACATACAAAGCCATAAAAACTCATCCCATGAACCCTACAAAGACTATTTATTATCCCCTGGGACCCTGATCGAAACTATAGTCGGCCCCTTAGTTCGGACCACTTGACGGACACGTTTTATCCCTCGTCGGCAAATTTCTGGAGCCAAGTCAACCATGCTAATCGTAAACTGAGCTGTTACTTTTTATGAACTGTTTGTATAATGTTGCTAAGTGACAAGCAGCAACCGGCTACAGACTATTCTATTCTTTGAGCAACTTATCTTGGTAAGTATTCTAATACTAATCTAATGAATAATTGGTATTCATTTGTATAGTAAAGCTAAACGCAATACAGAAAATAGCTAAAACAGTCTACTAATTATTTTCAAAGTATATATTATTTAAACATAAAATATTCAATTGAGATTGTAATAATTTTGATGATACAATATTTTCCTCTCAGAAAAATGAACGCTTCCAGTAAAAATATTTGTCATGGTACAATGAGCAATGGTGTACGAGGTGAGCAAGTTGATAAGTGTTGTTGTTTTTGTCCCATATGAGTCTGACTTTGTATCAAGCGATTCTTTACAATTTTGTTCGAAATTTGAGATTCATCAATCGAGGGTACTTTAAAAATTCCGAAAGTGTTTACACCTTCTCTGATTGACCAATTCAACGGTGAAAACTGGAGGTGTACTTCTGAGAAGACGCAACTAACTTTGTCACCGCCAGGCGGGTGCGACCGAAGCCAAGTAGGTACTTAAAATGCACCCTGTAGACTTAGCCTAGACGGTACATAGCTTACTATATGTAAATATTCGAATTTCTTTCAGTAGATTTTGCACGTCTGGTAGGTCCCATTATAACTTACAGTTTAGATTTGGAAATTAGATTGAGTATACAGTAATATTTCCCTCATCAATAAAGTCGTTTACAGATCCTATTATCCATTAATTCTGAAGTGGAAGGTCTGTTGAAGATAAATGAAAACTGAATAATTTGAACGTTTTAAAGATATACAGTCCCCGATGAGCTAAAAAAGGACTCGAAAATCAATAATCCAATATTTTGAACTGCATATTGTGTATATTAAAATAAATAATTATTTTTCAATTGAAAATTAGAATGGAAAAACTTAGTTGATGATCATTAGAGATTTTTGTGATAAAACATATATATATATATATAAATATATATATAGATTAAAAGGCAAAATACTGGAAAACAACAATGC